CCTGCTCCGGAGTAGGAGCTAATTTGGTTCTCGAAAAAGGCAGTCCGGTACTAAAATCACACCCAGTTCCGGCGGTGCGAAAACCCCAAAAAGTGGGTAGTTCCACAATTAGTTCAGGTACTATGAAAAGGTTCCCGCGGTGTGAAAGGCCCCATGGAACCTCAACCGAGGTGGTACTAAAAAAAGTACCAGGTACTGTACCCAGTGGAAAACCCCCCAAAAGTGAACCGTACCGAGCCTTACCGTGCCGTACCATGCAGTGGAAAAGCGCCATATGTCAGACCCTACACCTCGTCTACAGCTTGGAAATAATCCGCGTCTCATTGGTGGTCGCCACAGAAGATCTGTTCTGAATTTTTACTCACTTTACTCTGAGGTTCACCTGACTCCATCAGACCTGTTATTTCCCTTGTGGAAAACAAGTATACTTTAGAAGAGTGCTTATTATAGACATAATATACTTTAAAAGAATGTACTTAAGTGTAACTAAATTTAGTGTTTTTGGACTAATTGCATGTTAATTTAAATGAAAACAATTTAAAACATTATAAATGCAATGAATGAATTAAGGAGTGCTTTATGACCCCCTGAAGTAGGACTTAAGCACATCATTATATGAAAAATAATAATCGCTTCTATTGTCTTTGAAATATAGTTAAGTGTACTACAGAATGTACTGAATGTACTGAAAAGCACTTATTGTAAACTAAAATATACTTGAATGTAATTTCTGTTTCTGTATTTCAATATATTTATAATTACACATTTGTAATGATGAAGTTGCAGTTTAGTACATTTTTAAAATATATTAACAAACTGCAGTAAAAAATTATAATCAGGAACTTTAAATGTGCTTTAGTACGTCAACACATCAAAATAAGTGTACTTCTTTAAAGCCCAACATAAGTTTTACACATTAAAACATCATGATTTAAAGGTGCTTTAAAGTACAATTTGTAATTTTCACAACGGTTAGGGTGCGTTTACATAATACACAATCTTGCGTTGACTAGTCAACTAGTCAACCACTAATCCCTGATGGGAATGCACATGGGATGGGGTCAAGGTTGGAGGATCAAAGCATGCATGTCCTCTCTTAATGTTTCCAGTTCTCCTGCTCTATTGTTCTGACTGTCTCTCAACTTGTTTTTAAGAGGCGCTGCGCAAAGTTTGCCAAAAATGAGGCTTATCGTTGTTTGTGTCCACTGATGAGAATAAGCACCATTAAAATGAAAGAAAAACTACAGAATTGCAAGCAAATTAAAGGCATAATAAAAACAAGATACCGTGACAAGAGGCCAAATTGTCCTCAAAATCATATTGAAAGAGCTTGTCATGCCTGATCAAATTAAGACTCTGTCAAGAGTTTGCAAAATAAAATGACTGAAGCAATGCATCGCTTTTCCAGCTTAAGATTTACAATAAATCAAGATTTAATGTGCTTACAGCTCTGACAAATGAATTCATTTGTACTAAAAAGCTTTTGCTGGCTTTCTGTCAGAATACTGTGAGACTGACTGATCTTAGCTTTTTAGTCACTGTTTGCATGTCATGGTTTTGGTTATGAATTCTCTTTTGCATAACCCTAAATGGCTCCAAGTTATATGGATGCATAGTAAACTGGGTCTTTGCTTCGTTTAAACACAACAGAGAGATTTTGACAAGCCGTTTTAGTTTTATTTAGTTAATCTAAATCCCTTCAGGGAACATTTCGGTGAATCTTAAGATTAAGGGATGGGTTTTTATAAAGAATTGATCATCTTCCAGAAAGCAGGGCTCTAGACTAATAAAATTTCTAGTGAGCCATTAGCTCCTAAAATAAATCATCTAACAGCTAAAATCCTTTTTTTAGTCGCCAGATTACAGAATTGCTCATTATAGATTGTAGTTCATGCTCACAATCTTTTGCAATGGGTCAAGATTCACAGGAAGATGCAAGAAAAGTTGTTCTGATATAACCAAGTTTGCTCTGTGAGGAATTATTTCATTATTTAAGTACCATGATACATTCATTTGGGCTTCTTTTAATTGGGATTATCTACTGTATATTCTATTCATGTTTCAGGAATTGATAAAGCATCATTTATTTACATTGCAACAGAAGGACGCAGAATAGAGTTCCAGGAAACACTGGTATGTATGTAATTATCTAATGTTACCTCAAGAAATGATATCTGACAAAACTAGGGCTGGGCGATATAGCTAAAAAATGTATCAACGATGTAACGTGTCATATCATTCGGTATCGATAATTATTGACATTTTTTATAACCTTTTTTTAAAACAGAGCAATAGAAAATTTTTTTTACATTTAACCACTGTATTTTTAAATTAACCCAATTTATTGAGACAAACAACAACTATTTTTTTTGTTTTAACAGTCAAACACACAATAAAATATCTAATTTCTAATGTTTTATATGCAGATTAAATAGGTCTGAAGGAAACTTTTGTCTTGTCTCAGGCCACAGGAGGGCGCAATGAGCAAAATAATGCAGCACATTTAAATCGTCAACGCAAGGAAATAAATGTCTATAAAAAAACCCTGCATTACGTCTAAATTAACTTATATAAATCAAATATAATTTCGTAAATTGCATAAACAATTATGAGTGTTTGTGTGTGCTGTCTGCGTCACTCATAGCACGTGCCTATATTGTGCGCTATATCGAACATTTTTTATATCGTTATTGAAGAAGGTGTACCGTCGATAAATATTGATACCGTTTTATCGCCCAAGCCTAGACAAAACCATAAACAAAGTTTTCCTTACAGCAAACAACCTATTTAGTCACAGTCTGAAGCTTAGGAACATGAGGGAGACAAATATAGAAATTTGCCCCCAATTAAAATCTTACACTAATAAATTGCTTAATGACTTTTGATTTGATTTGATTACATTTTTAAATGTAAATGTAAATGAAATTTGAAAAACAAATGAATTATACAATTAGTCATGCAAAACCTGAAACTTCCTCTGCATTCACTCCCCGTCATGACATTCCAAACCCATATGACTTGATTTCTTCCATGAAACACAGATTAAAATGCATGTTCACCCTGCTCTTTGAAAGCAGACCAGTGATCAGGGGTTGCAATAGCTTTGGGAAGCAATACAATAGCTTTGTGTGAGAAACAGACATAAATTAAGTAATTGTTTACTAATAATCGGGATTGCTCTTAGTTGTCGTCGTGTTTTTAAAACTTGCTACTTCGCAATCAGTCACATGACACACAAGAAGCAACGGCATTTGGCATTGATGTCAAACTTTGGGTGACATGAGGGGCATGAAAAGAAAGACTGAGCAAACAGCTTAAATTATGACTTGGCAACTTCTTACACAGGGCTATGACTTCTGAAAATCTGGAACATATTTCACAAGTTATATGGAATAGGTTTTAAATAATGAAGTTTTTTTTAAGTATTCTATGCTCACCAAGATTGCGTTTATTTGATCAAAATACAGTAAAAACAGTAATAAATTGTTTTTTGCAGCTTAATACTTTTGTGGAAATGGTGATTGTTTCCCCCCCCCAGAATTCTTTGATGATTAGAAATGTCAATGAATAGAATTGATTTGAAATATAAATCCTTTTTTAACATTATACATGTCTGTACTGTAACTTTTGATCACTTTAAGGTGTCCCTGCTGAATAAAAGTATTATTTATTTATCTATTTATTTTTTAAATCTTACTTACCCCAAACTTTTGAAAGGTAGGGAATGAATGTTTCCACAAAAATATTAAGCAGCAAATGAGGGTGAGTAAATGATTACAAAATTATCATTTTCATTTCTCTTGATGGTAAGGAATGCATAAATAATACATTCTGTGAATGAGACACTTACCGATTTTCCTCTTCGGAAGAGAAGCTGGTTGCCGGCGAGGGTGAAATAACGCGTTTTCCACCTTTTGATGAACTTCCAGCGTACTTGTTTCTCCTTCAGCTTCCCCTCAATCAGTGGCTGGCCATCCTGGTTAACAACTGAGCAGAAAGAGTCCAAATGAAATGGTCAGACAATGTTAAAGTACAGGGAAGAATCACAGAAGTTGTATGGACTAGTGTAATTGTGCTTTTATGATGTTTTCATCAGCCCTGCTTTCATTGTATAGACAGAGCAGCATAAACATTAAATATTCTTCTTTTGTGCTCCATCAAAGAAAGTCAGTCACAGACATGTTTAGAATGATACGAGGGTGAATAAATGATGAATTGAGATTTTTGGGTGGACAAGTCCAATTATAACATTAGCCCCTTTCACACAGTAATGCCAGCAAATTATCGTAAAATTACCAGAATTAATTTTCGGTAAATACACAAAATCTGCTGTTCACAAAAGCAATGCTGCCGTGCAAGGGCAAAAGGCTGTAACTTCGCTTTTGGTCGAAAATCAGTTATTGATATTTTTGGGACATTCAAGACCTCTTTTATCATGTGCATAAGTATCTTGAGTCGATTTTGTTGTGTTTTCGAGAAAATAATGAAGTTACTATGTCAATATGAGGTTACTGTGCCGGCCTCGAGTTACTGTATATGGTATTCTGCCTTTGTTTTACTGTCCATTAAAGTGTGCTGCTTTTAAATTACGGTGTAACTTGTGTACTTTCATTCTTCTGTCACTGAAGCACTTAGACAAAGAATTAGATAGATTGTGATCTACCAAACTGCTCCTTATAACAAAGCACTGTAAACAAGCAAAGACTAGATAACTTGGAATAAATAAGTAATCGTATATAATCTTTAATGTTTTTTTTTTTCTTCTTCTTTTTATAATGCAGATTATTCACTCAGTGCCAGTCTGCCAGTCTGGGACTGCCCACTTCCAGTTGCACGCATTACTATATGTTATAGCTTATGAGATAGCCCATGATCACTAGATTTTATACAGGTGTTACTATGATGATTTTCTAAATGGTGATCAGCAACCAAATATTGATAATGTGGAAGTTACTGACTTTTGCCTTGGCGTGACATCTTTTTTTTTTCAGACAATACAAAGGGCAGAGCACAGTCATTTCAAAATAGGGGTAAAAATCAAGTTTGAGCTAAAAAAAAATTTATGTAGATAATTTTCATTACTAAAACATCTAATTGCCAGATTTCCAGTGTCCTACCTATAATTAATTTGGCTGGACGAATAAAAGTAATTTTTCTCAGTTCCACACTAGTGAGCTAAAGGGGTCATATGATGCGATTTCAATTTTCCCTTTCTCTTTGAAGTGTTACAAGCTCTTGGTGCATAAAGAAGATCTGTAAAGTTGCAAAGACTAAAGTCTCAAATCCAAAGAGATATTCTTTATAAAAGTTAAGAGTCAACCACTCCTACCTAAAACGGCTCGTTCTAACACGCCCCCACATGTCTACATCACTATGTGGGAAGATTTGCATAACACCGCCCAAATGTTCACACAAAGAAAGAAGGCATAACTTTTATTCACGCTGTAGTATTGTTGCCGCCGCTGTCATGTCGTGAAGTCACTGTGTGCTTCGTTGTGAAAGCGAAACTACTTTGTTTGACCTTCCAAAAGAGGACGATATCCGCTTCGTCATCCCTAGAGCTGATCCGTGCTGGTCGCTGAGGAAATACATCAACTTAGTGCTGTGGATCACCGGATCGGCTTTCACCGTGGACGAAACGAAGTCCAGCCTGGGGTCGTCACATGTGGTTGCCACAAGCCCGCCGGACGCTCCAATAATGTTCTTTTTAGCAACATCATATGACCCCTTTAAGGTCTTTTGCCTTTGAAGGGCAGAATAGTGTTCTGGCTTTTTACTGTTAAGAGACCATTCACACATCAGCACTAAAATACCAGTAAACTCTGCGATGTCAGTTATAGGAACTTATGCAGCGTTTTTTATTCATTAGCTTGGATGAGGAGAAGCGCTTAAATTTAGCTATCTTTCCAATTTGATCATTCGTTACTTCTGCATGACAGGAGTAGGAGATGATCACACAGAGCACGTTTTTGTGCTTAAAAACACAATAGTATCCAACTGCAGAGCCGCGGTGCTGATGAATGGAAAAGAGGGCAGTTTTAGAGTGGAAAGCACAATACATCTATCAAAGACATCCAAATAACACACATTTACATAGAAAAACTATAAAAAAAAGCAGCAGAGCAAACTGTAAACAGCCTGGAATAATAACATCATGTCTGTCAGAACTTTATGATTGACCCAAAGCAGGCTTCTTCCGTCAGCGGCCAGACCTTATATGGAGTCATTCCAGTAATCTTATTTTTTGTTCACAGATAGCATGGTACTGGTTATTTACTGGTAATGTTACAACAGTATTTCTGAAAAGGTCCTGTTCTCTAAAGGGTCCTGCCCAAAGGAAACAGAAATAGTCAACAAAACAATACTCTTCACTCACACAGTCATCCTCCATGCTATTTACACACATACTGTACCCCCGGTTTCACAGTCCCGGACTAAAATGCATGTCTGGGCTGTTTTAACTGAAAGAAACTTGATTTGTCTCAAGATGCACACCAGTAATGTATTTTTTTTTCTAAGGCATCTTTATAAAAGCTACTTCGATGTCCTAATTGAACTATGGCTTAATCCTAACTTCATCTAAGCCCTGTCTGTGAAACCAGGCAACAGAAAATTAAGGCTGAATTTTTCTCATTAGACGAACAAAAGAGCGTTGCTTTGTATTTACAACCACATCAAAATATCTGGTGTTTCAGGCACTGTGAATATTTTGTCTCCTGCCTGTGTTTGCAGGGTCTGTCTGAACTACACAAAGCGTTTCACAGATCTCTCTCATGGGTCTATTTCAGTTAAACAGGAAGCTGTTATAGCCCTTCCAGGATGGTACAAAGCAGCCCATTGTCTGAGTTTTCCTTTTTTCAGCAAGGAAAACACATGAGAATCTGCAGTGCTTTGATAGCCTGCTTAATATTAAGCAAGACTGATCTCTGATAATCTAATAATTTAGGGTACAAAATAGGGCATGAAACTCTTAAAAATTAAGTAACTTGTTTTTCTTTTTCAACAAACTGTCAGTAAAAAAATGCACTTAACCCTCAGAAAATGTTGTTCTGTTATTAAAATTAAATAAATAAATTTAAAAAAAACACAAAATACACTTAATACCAATTCAACAGATTATGTCAAAACAATGACGTATTGGGTGTCGGATACACTTGAGAAGGTCAAGAACTCTGAAGTGGCACAGCCAAAATCATAATTTTTCAATTTCACATCGGCAGAACAAATGAGAAGCTTTAGAGGAGATAATGGTTGTTCTGGTTATTTCAACCCAAAACTTTCTGCAGATGTCTGCATTGCAGTGCTGGTAATAAGTTATAATTGAATTCGTGTGTGTTTATCCCATGAGCAACATAATAATTCTCGATTATGAATTCCAAATAAATTCTTTTTCATTTTACTTAGATTTTTTTTTTTTACTCTCTCTGCCTTTCTCTGGCATGCATGAATCAAAGCACTTGTATGTGTGTGTGAGAACATCAGCAAAGCAAACATAAAATGTATGTTTTGTAAATCCCAGAACATTAAAAACATCTGTGCTGCATTCTGCATTACATTTGTTTGGCTAAAATGATTTCTGTTCTCTGTTTATTTTTACTGTGTATATGATAGTGTACTTAAAAATGAGTTTTTCTGTTTGTGGTCATGAAAGTGAAACATACACAATGATAAGAGCAGAGGCCAAAACTGATGCTCAGCAAGTCCAAAGTAACATTGTTTGAGGAATTTTGGTCTTTCTGAAATTACACAATGTCCCAAATCATTGTAGCTGTTTGTGACACACTCAAATGTGCTCTCCCATCACAAGCGAAGTACAAACCTGCAGTAAACAGAATATTACACTAATTTGGATGCAACCCATTTGGAAATCTGCATTTTGGCAGTTCCAATTCACACGTAGTACAGAAAGCACAGAAAGCCAATGGGAAAAGAGTACGAGTAAGTGGTTTGGAGCGCTATGTTACCAATACATCAATATATCTTTTGAGGTAAGTATTGTTTATTCCAGTTCTCCTACAATTGTAAATTCATGCAATGAGGGTATTGCTAGTCACTGTGGGGAAAAGAAGGCCAGTGTTTATTTTTCGGCTGGTTGATGTATGTTATAGATTTTTCTCTGGGCTTTGGCCAGCGTTCTGCTTTACTGTTGATTTAGAGTAACTAAAGAAAGAAGCTCCGATAGTCAGACAGGATTCCAGCAACCCCTGCTGAGAATGTGGATTCACTTCTGTAGCATTTACTGGACAGGGTTTCACATATCTTAGCAAAGTTGGAGTACATCCAACTCCATGTCGAAAACAACACACACTGTAAAAAAAATTCCGTAAAATTTACGGTAAAAAAACAAAGGTTCAAGAGTTTATATGGGGCTTTGAAAAGGTTAAATATAGGCTATATATAGTGAATCTGGTATTAATGGGTATTTCTAAGTTCCCCTTGTGAACTTTGGTCAATTTAGGTACCACTTTATATTTGGTGTTTTTAACTACTATGTACTTATGTCAAAATAAATAAATGAATAAATGAATTAATAAATAAATGAATGAATGAAAGTTAGGTACAACTATTGTGTTCATGGTGAATTGCAAAACACTTTTGCTGCTATTGAGGTGAGATATGGGTAAGGTACGGACACTTTCGTTGCTACAGTTAGGTTTAAGAGTGGGTTAAGGCGTAGGGGTAACGACGACGATAGATGTAACTACAGAAATGAATTACAGATGAAATTACAGGAAGGCATTTTTTTAATGTAAGTCCAATATAAAAACAGGTTTGTACACATTGTATCAACTGATTCATTTAAATGTAAGCACAGAGTAGTTAAAGACACTTAATATAAAGTGAGTCCTGCTTTTAGTTTTTAAAATAATTTTATTTAGTAATAGCTGTAGAAATAACATTAAACAAAGGTGAAGTTGGGGTGGCAGAGGGATATCAGCAGAACAGTCCCCGGTGTGAAGTGAGCAGCTATTTACTATATATACACATTGGCAGGATGAGATAAACATAATTCTTACAAACAATCATTCCAAACTCCATTAAAAGGTGGATTCAGAATAGTTTTAAGGAAGGTTTGTACATAATTCCATTTAAATATGAATAAATTATTAATTAATTAGTTTCACAGACTAATAAAATAATATCTTCCAGAGTTTCCAAACAACAGTTTGGGGGCAATAAATGACACACAAACTCTTTTTAGTTCAGTGTTCTAAAGGCAATGCTTAAAAATAAATTCGACACAGCTTTCTTACGTAAAATAAAATTTCAATTAAAAGCTTTTGAAATGTACAAATTAGACAGGACAGTGAGAGAAAAGCAGCCAACAGCCAGGATGCACCTCATGACATTTCTTCAGCAAGGTAAGCAGCATCATATTGGTAGTCTTGAAGCTGTATCACTGCATTCATTTTTCATTAATGCCTGAGCCGAACTCTGGAGCGCTCTCAAAGCACATAATGTGCTTCATGAGCTGACGACACACCAGACTTCTGTCAGACCATAACACTGCCAAGGTATGTGCTGCCTGTCCAAGCTTTGCTTCCCCTTCCCCAAGTCCTTATTTCTGTAAACATTCACCTCGCTCTATTAAAAATCATTACGGCTCTCTGCTAATGGAAACTGTTTCACATTCCAAATAAGGAGAAAGGAGGTAGAATGTGTGCTACAACCCTCGTTTAATGAGCGGCTCTTGCTATTGAGGTTTCAATGAGTCTTTTATTCCCACCTTGGCTGCTGGATAGTGGTGTGTAAAAAAAAATTCCTGTCTCATTAAAGTGTCTCTTTGTGGCCTAAAGATTTGCTCTCTGAAGTAAAGTGACGCCATCAAAATTTCATGTACTGTAGCAATCCAATACTCCACCAAACAGCAGTGAACAATTTTAACATCCAACTACGGGGGTGTAAAATATTCCAAGTAGAAAAACATGAAGAGTAACAACCAAAAACCAGAGTAAAGACCCAAAGCCTAGAAATACTGTTTAAGTAAATAATTTAAGTAAACTTCCATTTAACAAATTTAAATTGATTACATGTAATAAAATATCATTGTGAAAAAAAAAAACAAGAATTGTGTTGCATTGTGTTGATTTTAATGAACTAATTTGCATTTAGCTAGTAGCCACGCAGATCTTAGCTGGTGAAGCTAGTCAAACTGCATTGACCTTCTGATGAAACTTATGAAGCAATTAAGCTATCTGCTTACAATAACACATTGTTTTAGACCTCACTACGCAAACTGCACCTATGGCAATGCTGAGAACTGAGGCTTCAAATGCCTATAAATGATCTCAGATGAAACAGACATGCTCCATGTGCACCAATTTACAATATGTTTCATTGTTTTCGGTAAACATTCAGGCCAGAGACAAAAACCTTCTTCATTGTATCTAATTGGTTCTTGTGGAAAAATCCTACTTAAAAGCACATCTGTATGTCTGGAGAAGATTCAAAACAAAGCAACAGTAATTCTGGATGCACTTGAATGGGATCAGAAGCCTCTTTGTCTAAACGATGAACATCCTAATGCTGGACTGATGTAAACGATCTCAGCTATAGAAATGAGACAAACCACCTTTTCCTCTACTTTTTGGGTTTTTTTCTTCTCATGGAAAGCAGATTTCAACAATCATAACAGAGGACTGAAGCTGTATGGGACATCTGGAGTCCTGATGTGCTTTTGCAAAAATCGTGTAGCCGCTAATCATTAACGTCAGAGAAGGATCAGCTGTAACTCTTTTAAAATCATGACTGTTATTCACTGATAATCTTGCCCTCCAGTGAGCTGTTAACAGCTGCGACCGGATCGAGTCAAGCAAGTTGAACTCGAGAACCAAATCAGCCCAATTTGTGAATGAATCATTCAGACCATTTTTGTGAACCGCATCAACTGATTCATTGAAAAGACTCACGACTACTCCTCTCACACATCAGGGACTAAGTTTGGTTATTTACTGTCTTTTTCTGATTTTTCTGCAACACTATTAACCTTGGTAAATTGTCACAGGTTTGAAAGTGAGTCATTTATTATGTGCATATGTTTAAACGAGGTCAAAAAAGAAGCAAATCATATTTACCTGTGGCTTTCTCAGGGTTACTGCACATGAAACAGAGCCAGCCACCCTCCTCTTCACTGTAGCTGAACAGGTCAAAGAAACGAACCTCCTCCAGATACATCTGCAAACTGTCCACATCCTGAGAATGAATACAGAGAAGGAGTGAGGAAATTTAGCAGATGAAGCTATTCCACAGCACTGAAGATGACGCACAATAGAAAGAGTCATTAGCTACCAGCTCACATGCCCGATCTGCTCCAAAACCCAGACCGTGCAATTATGCTTCCTTCAAAAATACCTCATTTTGGCCGTATTCTAAGACAGCAACACATGTAACCTTTACAAAGTATGCTAGAATGCAAGTTCAGTGAGAAAAAAAAATCTTCCAAGATCTAAAGATTAGTCTAAAACAATGCTTATTATAAGTATACTTAATACTATACTTACTTTTACTATTTCACTCAATAGTTATGTGTGCTTTATGCTGTTTGTTTGTTTATTTATTTATTTTTAATGTTGTTAGCTTAGAAAAATGTTAATGCCAATCTACTGGAATTAACTGTAACACATTTATTGGAATAACATAGACATCATTCAAATATGTGTCCGGAGACATCAAACTTCTTTCTGTTATATCTTGAGATTCTGTAATCACCAAAAAAGAAAGACAGAAGCACACAATTGTTTTGCTTTGAGGTGCTCCCTGTCTGTCAGTTACTGAGTGTACGGGTTTGCCGAGATATCTATGGAGGCCAACATTTTGGCAAAGTCCAGCTGAAGTTAGCAAAGTGGCTAATATTTACGACAGAAGGGCTACCTTGTGAATGTAAACAGTAACAGCAAGGCAGCTTATTAGGTTTTGGAACAGGGCTAACTCATTCACTACATTGATTTAAATGTGAAGATTTACATTGAGGAGAGATTCTTGACACCAGGAAAGTAGTAAACCACAAGCTAGCTTTGAGAGAGTTGTGATAAATTGTAGTTAGCCACTTAAGGCTACGAGTTTTCAAGATTAATGGAGTCTCATTGGTCTTTAAGTGGAAGAGACTTTTGATTTAGTTATCTGTCTCAAGTCTTTGCGGAAGGCCGTCAATGGACTGAAACAGCTGCGTAATGACAATATGGGATTTACTTACGTATTATAGAGTCAAAGTGAAGTGAAGTGACTATTATACTGAGCTGAGGTATTCTGGAAATGGACAATCACAAACATCACACAGAAGAGTTGGAAGAAAAACAATATTTTTTCGGAAGTCCTTTCCAAGAAATTACAATCACTGGCTTGTGCACTGCCTCCACCCTTAAAGGGATAGTTCACCCAAAAATGAAAATTCTGACATCAGTTACTCACCCTCATGTCGTTCCAAACCCATATGAAATTCATTCATCTTTGAAACACAGATGAAGATATTTTTAATGAAACCTGACAGATCTCTGTGCAAGAACTAAAAAAGGCTTGCATTATGCAAGTATGGTTGAGCTGCCGTTGACCATATTTGATGTACGTTGATCATTGTTTATATGTGAATTAAAGCTATAATTAAATTTGCTTATCAAATAAAGTGACCATGTCTTTCCAGAAGACTTCATAAGGATTACTTTTACGATGACTTTATGAAATTTTGGTTGAATGGACTTTCAGTGGAGGGACAGAAACCTCTCAGGTTTCATAAAAAATATCTCTAAATATCATCATCATTCCAAAGATGAATGAATGTTTTATGGGTTTCATACAACATGAGGGTGAGAAATTGGGGTTAATAAAACTACTTGTATCACACAAAGCTATGCATAAAATCCTTCTGTGGAAAATAAAAGATATTTTGAGAAAAGAAAAAAAAACCCTACAAAGAAAGTCAATGATAAACAAAACCAACATTCTTCAAAATATATTTTGTGTTCTGCAGATGAGTCGTGCATGACGAGTGAGTGATTTTGGGTGAACTATCCCTTTAAGATTATAAAGCTTGAGTCATACAAAGAAATATTTTTTAAAAATATGTATTTAATTATTCAGAGCTTGGGGGAACTATTCCATTAAGAAGGTCTGATTTTCTACTTTCTGTATTACACAAAGTTTCACTTCAAGCGAATAAAACCAGGTCATCAGTCAATCCAGCTTTCTCAGACCTGAGGCTCAGAGAGATGAATGGAAAGAGTTTTCACCATCTCCTTCAGCATGGCAGCGCATTACTTTGATTAAAGGGATAGTTCACCCAAAAATTTGATGTTTATCTGCTTACCCCCAGGGCATCCAAGATGTAGGTGACTTTGTTTCTTCAGTAGAACACACATGATGATTTTTAACTTTAACCGTTGCAGTCTATCAGTCGTATAATGCATGGCAATGGTAACAAAATCTATGAGAGTAAAAAAAACATGCACAGACAAATCCAAATTAAACCCTACGGCTCGTGACGACACATTGATGTCCTAAGACACGAAACAATCGGTTTGTGCCAGAAACCGAACAGTATTTATATAATTTTTTACCTCTAATACACCACTATATCCAACTGTCTTTGGGCGCGCGCACGGCATCCGGTGCGTGAGGTGTGTACGCGCTCTGGCGTAGTTTACGCAAGCGCCGGAACTGATCTCTCGCGCGTATACGTCACTCATTGTTTACACAATGCACAGTCATTGTAGGTACGACGGCTAATCAAAATGGTACTTACTTGCGCTTATCCGGATTGTTCAAACCGACTTAAAACTAAAAGATTACGTTCTCTCACGCGAACTCAAAAAATGATATAAATACTGTTCGGTTTCTGGCACAAACCGATCGTTTCGTGTCTTAGGACATCAATGTGTCGTCACGAGCCGCAGGGTTTAATTTGGATTTGTCTGTGCATGTTTTTTTTACTCTCATAGATTTTGTTACCATTGCCATGCATTATACGACTGATAGACTGCAACGGCTGGAGTTAAAAATCATAAAAATCATTCTACTGAAGAAACAAAGTAACCTACATCTTGGATGCCCTGGGGGTAAGCAGATAAACATAAAATTTTCATTTTTGGGTGAACTATCCCTTTAAGGTGGGGGACACAGTAAAGCCAACTTCCCCAGACAATAGACCAACACCAAATTTGTTAGAGAAGAAATTGCTTCAAGAAACCTGTTTCAAATTTCAGTTGAGTGGTCAAGAAGTCAACTAAAGCCCATACAACTTCCATTAGATCTACATGATACAAGTTGTTCAGAGCTAAGAGTAATCTGACACAAGGGGTAGACAAGAGTTTAATTTTCACCTTTCCTGTGAGTGATCACAATCGAGAGCTTTTATTTCTCAGAGTTCAGAGCAAAGGGAGATGAAAGACCATCCATCATACATCTTATATTTAAATTTCTCTTCATGCTTGCCTGTAAATAGATGCATGTCATTATCGAACCCCCGCGGACAGCCTCTCTGGCTAAGAACAGTCCAGTCATCTTACTAGTGCTCTGTCTTCACTTATTTCATGCCAACTAAATCAGTGTAAGAATCGAGCAAGAAATGTAATGTGCATTTGATTATTTGTGACAGGAAAACCTTTTTAAATAGCACAAATGGTATTTGATGTATTTTTTTTACAGACGAGTCAAGTACATAGGTCTAAATGAGGGCCATGTGTGTGTGTGTACATGTTCTCACATGTGGAGTTCAGTAGGGGGTATTTGTGCTGTGGTTTATGTTTCTTATTAAAAGCTGGGCTCAAAAAATCTGAGCTGGAGAGGATTTGCCAAAATCATTCACTCTAAGGTAGTGGTCTTGATCTGGTGGTTAACCCAAAATTAGGTTGCAGGTGTCAGGGTTCTGTCATTTCGGTTGGGCTTATTCTTAGTTTAGTGACTAAGAACTCATATATCATCTTGTCTTTGTGTGCAGCTTCAAGTTTGCTCATGCTGTGCACTCTCTCGTCCTTGTGGTGTGTTGTGTGTGCGGAGCGTGGTGTATGGATCTCAACACTCCTGTCTTGTTTGGTTCAGTGTCTAGGCCCCGATATACTTCAAGCGAAATCGAAGAACGAACTGATGTGATGTCATTTTGAACAAAATCTGTCCAAAAACGAAGTTTGTTTTGGGAGTTCGAAACGGCTTGCCAAAGCAAACTTTCCGGAAAAGTTCGTTCCGGCCTTCGTACTACCATTGGTCCGTGACAATTACATCATAGGAGGTGTGCGCTGAGGCTCCGCCTTCTTTCACGCAGAACTCTTCTCTGGGTTCATTTCGTCTGTCGAGTCCTTGGAGGTGAGATGTCCGCGGGTAAAAACATGAACACAGTGGAGTGCCACTTTATAGTAGCAAATTAAGTTCTGCTTCTGATGAAGTGAGACACTGACACTGTTTTTCATGTTTAATACTGCTGATTGCTTTTGAGCAATATATTGAATAAAGTGCCATGTAAATACACATGACAAAACTTCACGGGAGTGCTAATTTGCAGAGCTCGTGCATATTTAAAAAAGCATCATATGACCCCTTTAAGCAACATATTGAATAAAGTGGCATGTAAATACACGTGACGTGACTTTACAGGAGTGCTAATTTACAGAGCTTTTGCAAACATAACCATGTTGCTATGATCAGATTATTATAAAAAATATTCTTGCTGTTTTCTCCATTTTTGTTTTGTTTATTTTGTTACTGAGAGGAAAGCGTGCCGCACATATTTACATATTCATATAAACATTGCTTTCATCAGAGTGGGCGGCGTCGGGATGTTCGATAACAGTATACCGCTGCTCACGTATTTCGAACTTCGTTTTACCGATAAACGAAGAACGAAAAATAACTTTGTTTTGAGTATATCTGAGTAGAGGTCTTTAGAGTAGAGGTCTTCACGGGTCCACTTTGATCCGAAAACCCGAGGTCCGACCCGAGCAGGTTTTGGGTCCAAAACTTCGACGAGTACCTCAGACATGGGTCGGGTTTTTCGTTATTAGCGGCCTCGGGTCTCGGTAATTTAAAATAAACATGCTTTTTCCAAATAGACCCGATTAGACCCAAATTCTTTTAAACTTTCCCGAATGCGTAGGCTACTTTCAACTTTCGTGTTAAGTGAGGAACACACATAGAAAAGGAGCATAGGCTACGTTTGTAACCTCGCACACAGAAATCATCTTATAGATATGAGATCCATCAGGAAAATC